CTAAAATTACAAAATTTCACATTTATTTCTAGAGCTCCACACATCAAGCAAAAATCATCTCCATTAAGGCAATAGCTTAACAAAATCTCTGAAAATGGACCATTGTAATCCGTCTATAGGTCCTTGGAAAATGGCTCACAAGTCACAACCCATCATCGACGATCCTGTGGGAGCAAGCAAGCAATTTAAAAAAATTCAGAAATAGAGATAAAATTCGAAATTACATGCAATTAAACCTAAAGGTGACAGTCTAGTTAGCATAGTTATCAATACCCGCAGCATGCTAGGATAGGCAATTGTGAAATATGTGAAAGGCTACTTAGGAGGCTTATACAGTGCATCGACAGACCCAGCAGATATTACATAAGAGCTTCATGTAGAAATGTAAAACAGCTTATATGGTGCACCCTAAGGCTAATAAAAGTTAACCCAGGATTATAACATGAAACAGAGTTGCCTTATTTGGAGCATTCTATTCATTCAATCAATATCTTAAATTCTTGCATTCAATATGTCCTTTACTTATGATATGAGACGAACTAAAACTAACACCAACCTGCCTTAACCTTCATTATAACAAACTAACCCTCTGGCTCCAAGTTAATCTGCAAACTATTTGATGTTTCATGTCTTTCGGCTAATGCAGTACTAGACCACCCCTCCCATATTAAACAACCATCTGCTATTTGTTGAATATTGGAAAGGAAAGTGAATACTGTGTTAAAACAGAAAATTGAATAGCAATGAAAGACATAGACATAGCATGATCAAAGTGGCTCTAAAGATTCTAAATTACTAAGATAAGCTGGCACAAGAATTTCATGATTTTACAATACCAAACATTTAAGAATTCAAAAGTTGAAAAAGATTCTAAGATAAGTTGAAGAAAAAGAGGGATAGTTCTAAAATAGAAGGACAATCATTCCAACATTTAAGAATTAAAAAGTTACAGAAAAACCATTCAACATACATCAAATATGGGCAAGAACTCATAGCCACATTCCAATTGGTTCAATCAAGAGTAAAATAATATTCCATCCCCATTTACTGTTCAGGAAACTAATCAGTTAAGCTTTAGGATGATGAACAACTTCATTACAAAGTTATGCGGAAAACTTGCTTGTGGAAAAGTTTCATCATGTTGTCATACAGTGATTTAGCATGTGTTTTTAAGGATAATGATTAAAAAAACTCATTTCAAAATGTATGTTATCGGTAACCGACCTTTTGGGCAGTACGGCTATCGACTGGACGAATGCCCGGCCCACACTGAGTCACTTAAGGCCCGCTTCCGGTTTTACCAAACAAATGGGCCTTCAAATTCCCAACACCCA